CCAATCAGCACTTCCCCAAACTTCAACACTTCTAAAACTGTTTGCTTGTAACTATACCTCACTCCCTCTTCTGGCTTTCATTTTGTGGATCTGTCTTACCCATACTCTTCTTTTAATGGGCTTTTGATTGAAGGGCCTCTGAGCTAAATCCCCGGCCCTACTCGTTCTCTACACTCCCCTTTGTGCTGACTTCCGCTCTGCTCTACCAATCAGCATTCTTCCCCAAACTTCAACACTTCTAAAACTGTTTGCTTGTAACTATACCTCACTCCCTCTTCTGGCTTTCATTTTGTGGATCTGTCTTACCCATACTCTTCTTTTAATGGGCTTTTGATCCTCTGAGCTAAATCCCCGGCCCTACTCGTTCTCTACACTCCCCTTTGTGCTGACTTCCGCTCTGCTCTACCAATCAGCATTCTTCCCCAAACTTCAACACTTCTAAAACTGTTTGCTTGTAACTATACCTCACTCCCTCTTCTGGCTTTCATTTTGTGGATCTGTCTTACCCATACTCTTCTTTTAATGGGCTTTTGATTGAAGGGAACCTAACTGTATGCTCAGTTATTTTCCTGGATGCAAACTCAGTTTAGACACTTCTGAGTACCACAGCCAAAAGTCACATCACTCCCCAGATATGTGAGAAAGGACTTCTTTGGTTTCTCAGGGTGGCCCACAGGTCAGCTGACAGCAACCATGTGAAAAAAGATCCATAAGCAGAGCTGCCCACAAACAACAAAGTCATGAGAAATTACATACTGTTGTTGTTCTAAGACATTAAACTTCGGGTAGTCTCTTGCATGGCAATAAATAGATTAGAGACAGTGTTCTCATAACCAAGTCATAATATAATTTTATTGCTCAAAATTTCATTTAGGCAACACCATCTTCTTTTTCAGTTTGCCTTCTGTCCACTACACTGGCCTACATCTCTCCTCCAGGAGCCCCCAAGGAGGGCTGAGGACAGAACCCAGGACATCACTCCAGCCATGCAGGCACTCTGCCCTTCAACTCCACCCCTGGCCAACTTCAACATTCATTATGCCAGCCCTTCCTCCTCAGTGGGCAGATTCAACTACGCCCCCACAACTAATCTCTTTCTCTACATTCTAGCCTTTGTTGTGTATTAATACGGAAGGGCTGGGCAGAGGTGATAAAATCAAATCCTAAAAATTAGAGTCAGATTTTATTGTTTACAGTTTAAATCTTTATAATCAGAAAAGGCTGCACTGAATAGTTAACAATTAAGCATAACAATGGTTTTCAATTAGCTTTTTATCCTCATGTACTGTGGCCCTCACATGCTTGACAGGGTGGGTATAGAAGACTAAGACGAGGCACTTCTGAATCCTCTCATTGAATCCCTATGAAACATCATCTTTTAATTCAAATATAGACCTTGACTTAAATCTGGCTGCCAATTTTTCTAACCACCTTACTCTTTCTTTTCTAAGAGTTTTAGGCAGAGCCAATTCTACGGCAATATTCCACAATTATGGTAAGTAATCACCTGTCTGCTCCAAGTAAGAAACAAAAATCAAGACCACTTTCAGCATAGCTAAGTGATTAATTATAATCAATAAATTGGAGTTATCTTCTTAATCCTAGTGACTATTTTCAAAAAATGAAAATGTACCCTATAAATTATGAAAATATGCTTATGTTCTAATGTGTCATATGCTAAAACAAAACATTTGAACTTCTCCAATTCTATGCATAACTGACTTTCATAAAGAACACAGTTCTAGAGAAGCCATTTCTCTTAACAGAAATGGAAGAAACATTTTGCCATTTTTAACTAAGTCATTAAGTCCATTATAGAACAGGCTGTGATACAAACTTTATTTTTCTATGCTTTTTCATTAAAATTACTTTAAATTATTTCATTTAAAATGAAGTCAAGAACAATGGAAATCAGATATGGTTAAGATAGTGAGCTCCAAATAAATTAAAAATATTTCTACCCTCTTTGCATTTTTGAAAAGATGTAAAAAGTAGAACATTGGCTAACACTAACGGCTAAGAGTCATTACACATGTACTGTATGAGCACTTGACATATTTACAGTCCCTCACTTTAAACCTCACAACTGGGAGTTATGCGCCACTGTTATGCCTCTTGTACAGATGAGAGATTTGAGCAATGAAAGGATTACAACACCTTTCCCATCATCACACCCACACAGCCAGGACTCTGACCCAGGCAAAACTGAGGTCCCCACTTTCTACCATGATTTCACAATATTCACAACATTCTGTTGACTTTTTGAAGTGTCTAAGACAAAATTAATTAGTATACAAGCATTGCATTAAGTTCAACAGTTCCCCATACTTTGAGAAACTGTAATAAAAAAGTATTATCTGTATAATTTTATTTCTAATATAATTTGGTTATAATTATAGAAATTACAGATTCAATATCTGTGAACCAAGAAAAAGAAATAAGCTTTAAAGTTGCATAGCGTATAATTAAATACGCTATATGCTTGATTAAATATGCAGCTTCTTTAAGTATCCAATGACAACTATTTTCAGTAGAGTTGCCCAAGCTGGACTCAAACTTGAAATCCTTCCTGCCTCAGCTTCCCAGGATGCTGAGATTACAGGAATGTGGCACCGTGCCCAGCTAGATGACTCAACTATTAACAGTACCACCTCACATGATTCCTGTGGATTAAAAAAGATGATACATACAAAAGTACTGCTCAGGATGTACCACAAAACAAATACGAAATAAATGCTTTCACATGACAATTACTGATGCTGATGAATTATTAAGAATATCTACTTTGGTAATTGTAAAAAGAAGAAAATGTACTATCTATGTCATTATAATCACCACTTACAACCAACTTTAATAGAAGACAAGTCCTTTGTATATTTTTTCCACTCTCATACAATTTAAAATTCTGTCTATTCAAATTTTTTGAACAATTTTCATATTCATTTCCAAAATTCTTCTGTCCCTTAGACATAGCATTTCAAGTTAGGGTTCCTGTCTTCAATTTCTATCTTACAGCATCTTATTGTTAAGGAGATTTTTAGAAATTCTAAAGAATCTAACAGAGTAAAGCTAGTATAGCTTAGCTCTGAACAGGATAGACATTAATTGGGACCTGATTTTAAATTTTTACCAACACAGTCAAATATCAAGTTCATTCTTACCTGTGTATACATGCCTGAAAAAGCAGCTTTCTTATCCATGAGTAGGTGGGTAAAACCAGGTAAGGTTTTCTTTGTTTTTTGTTTTTTTATGACTGAGGAACAATTCTTACGTTAACACTCGGTTCAACCAAAAGAGGAGACACATTTTCAAAGACAACAGCAAAGGTATGCAGACATTTGACCAAGAGCAAGCACAAATTATTTTAATCAAAATAAAAACAAAGTTGTGAGTATATAAATTCACTTAGTTCACACACTTAGGATATGCAAGAGGGAAGTTCTGAACTCAGGAGACCAATTCCAAAAAGTTTTAACCACGGAGCTAATCCAAATTTCAGGCTGTGGGCATAGCTCAGTGGTAGTGTTTGCCTAACACTGCAAGGTCCTGGATTCAACTCCCAACGTTGCCAAAACAAAACAAAAACATCTCAGAAACCAAATTTCATGCTAATGAGCTGAATATTTGTATTTTCCTACTTGAAGGTCCATTTGTCTACGTGTGTTACAGCAAATATACTCTACAATATACTTATACAAACAGTATTGACCTCTTTGTCTCTGTCTCTCTCTTGGTGAACCCAGTGCTTTATCACTGAACTACATCCCCAGTGCATTTTTTATTTTGAGATACAATCTTGCTAAGTGGCCCAGATTGGACTTGATGTTGTTATCCTCCTGCCTCAGCCTTCTGAATAGCTGGGATTATAAGTGTACACCCTCAGGCCTAACTTGTCTTTTTTCAACAACTCAATTTTGATAAATTTTTAAATAACCATTTTTTTAACTTAATTAAGGATACGGTATTTTCCATCTTTTACAGCAGTGAAAAGCATTATTTATAATTCTGTAACAGTGAGGGATTATTTATAATTTCCATAAAAATATAAATTGGTACTAATTATTCTGTAGGATAATTATTCTGAGGAAAAGTGAGCCATCACTGGCTCAGGAACAGTCATTAAAAGAAAAGCTAAGGGAGGTGGGAGAGGGAGTTATTGGGGGGGATTTAGCTCAGTGGTTCTGCTGCCTGCCTTGCAAGTGTAGGGTCCCAAGTTTGATCCCTGACACACACACAAAAAGCTATCATTTTCAAGACTGCTCACTTTCTAGCTGACTTTAGCAAGTCTGAGGGGAGCAAGGAGGAACATCACAGCCATTTCTGCTTCAGCCTGCAGAGACAGAATGCCAAGGGTCCGGGGATTTAGCTCTGTGGTTCTGCCGCCTGCCTCGCAAGCACAAGGACCTGAGTTCGATCCCCAGTACCAAAAAAAAAAAAAAAAA